GCCTCCCACCCACACTCCACTCCTGGCCAAGAGAATGTCATGCTGAATTTTGGGTTTTCATCCTCCTGTCCCCAAATACTTGAACATAATCAGACATGGTTGGACTTGCGTGTGCTTCATAAAAACGGTTTCCCACTGTGCGTGGTCTCAGTGGCTTATGTCTTCATCCAATACTGTGCCCTTAAGATCAACACTTGCACGTAGCTGTGGGTGTCTCATTCCTTTTTACTGGTATGTAATGCTCCCTTGTGTAGATGTACCACAATTTGTTTACCAGTCTCCATCGACATGCTCAGATTGTCTCCAGTTTGGCAGCACGACCTTGCCTGTGTCCCCCACTGCATGTGTGCAAATGCTCCTCAGGACAGCAGCTCTCAAACTGGACAGCAGATCCCATGCAGGAAAGCTTGTCTGCAGTGCAGATTCTTGCATCCTATTGCAAGATTCTGGGTCAGCAGCTACCGCGTCAGACCCAGGAACCTTCATTTTAACAGACTTGGAATGTCTCCAGACACCACACTTAAATAAACCATGTCCTAACTGCACCCCTACTTTTCACTAGAGCAGGAAGCACACACACATCCAGACTTACAAACAACACTTCCCAATTTTCATTATTTTATATCAAACCGGTAGTACATATGAACATTCCAGCAGTCTATGTGCTTGACAGAGCTTTTTCCAATCTAACGGTTCGGAGATGGTACTTCATTTTGGCCATAATTTTCATCTTCCTAGTTTCTATATTTATATATCGGCTATTCAGTTTTCTCCTTTGTGACATACCTGCTCATGTCTGTCCCATTCTCCTAGAGACATGTAGAATTTGTTTACTATCCTGAATATTAATCTTTCGTGGATTACCTATGTTGCAACTATAATTTGTGGTTTGTCATATCACCCTAAGGTGTCCTATTATCTTTTAATTTTAATATGCTTGAATGTATCCATGTTTTCTAGTATGGTTAATGCATTTTTGGATAGTTGCTAATTAAACTCGAAGTCACAAAAATATTCTCGTTTTTTAAAAATACTGTTTTTCCTTTTACATACTGTGGAATTTTCTTTTGGTATTAGTTAGGGATCCAAGTTTTGTTTTCCCATATAGATAAACCATTACTAAAATAGACCACTTTCTTCCAGTGATCTACGATTATATGAAAGGAAATATTTACAAGTTTACACATTTGCAAGAATCAACTTGGCTTTCTGTTCCCCTGGTCAGTTCTTCTGTTTCCTGTGCCAATTCCACTCTGTGGAACAGCCCTGCTAGGCCTAAAGTAAATCTGTTTTTCTCTTCCTCCTCTTCCTTTCTCTCCTTGTCCATTTTAACCCTGGCCTTTCCGCTTTCTAAAAACTTAGGAATCAGATTGTCAAACCCCTAAAAACACTCAGGTGAGCTAGATTGGAATTACACTGAATCTACTTGCCAACATGGGAGAACTGACATTTTTACAGTACTAACTCTTCCTATTAATGCACATGATGGTCTCTCATTTGGTCTTTGTTAAAGAGTTACTACATTCCCATGGGTAATTTCAAACCTCCTTTCTCTTTGTCAGCTGTTCCCCACCAGGAACCTTGTTTCTGTGGCTAGCATAAAATGGGAATATTTCAGATACTGGGTGATACATTTCTATGGTTCTAAAATGAAGGGAAAAAAAACTATAAAAAAGATACTAAAAAGTCACCTGTACCCCAGTTCCTATTTCATAACCCCCTTACAGTAACCACTTTTAATCATTTTATATTATCTTTCCAAGGTTTTTTGTCTTTGTGGTTACCCTTGAAATTTTACTATATACATATGTGATAACTTAAAGAACTAAAATGAATCATTATTTCCCTCTCCCAGCCAAACAAAAATGGAAATTTTTTTTTTTCTTTTCTTATTTTTAGGTACATGCCCCTAGTGAGAACCGAACCCAGGACTCTCTGGTCCGCAGGTCGACGTTCCAACCGCTAAGCCAAACCAGCCAGGGCCAAAAATGGATTTTTAAACCACTAACTCCAAGCATGCACAGATGACAGAACTTTGACCTGCAACTCAACCCAGAACCAAAGTATCAGCCATACACACCCCACTCCAGCACACACCCAAGGACTAAGACATGACCAAAACTTGAACACCAGGTCCCTTTCAGAAGCCAAGGGTCTGCTGTCCAGGTAGATCTGGTGCTGATGCCCCTTAACATCAATGGCCAAGTTCCAGGCTCCTCCAATTAAAACTCACCCCACCAGCCCTAGCCAGTGTGACTCAGTGACGGAGTGTCAGCCTATGTACCAAAGGGTTGTGGGTTCGATTCCCAATCAAGGGCACATACCCGGTTGCAGGTTTGATTTCCAAGCCCAGTCGAAACATATGTGGAAGGCAACCAATCAATGTCTCTTTCCTCCTCCTTCCCTCCTTTCCACTCTCTCTAAATATCAATGGAAAATATATCCTTGGGGGAGGAGGAATAAAAAAATGTGCCCCACCAGCACTTGTGCATCTATGTCCCCCCAAAACCCTTAAAAACCCTGAACCTCATCCCATGAGCAAGACAGAGTTGACACCTTACCATTTAGGTCTCCCATCTCCTTGTTTGGTGCCTTTTCAAACAAGACACTTTTCCTCACTCCAAAAAATAAGATAAAATAAGCCACTGACGGACTCCAATCGGACACTAAGTGGCTATCTGCCGAGATGTTTCCTTCTGAAACCATTCCTTCGGGGCGTGTTCCGCTTACAGAATCTCAAGCAGCTCCGTCAGAAAAGGCTGGTGAAACTGCTCTCCCCACCTACCCACACTTCACACATTCCTGAAAGCATTCACTGAGCGCACAACTCTAGCTGTTGTAGCATACCTCCATGATTTTCACTCGGAGGAAGCTACTGGAGACTTTCTCAGTTTTGTTTTGAAATGTTTCAGGGGAGGATCTTGAAGGCCAGTTTGGGTTGGATGGAGCACAGAGCCACCACTCACTCAGAAAGTGTGAGGGTGAGGGTCAGGCATGGCAGCCAAAGTATGAGTGAGAGAGAGAGAGAGAGAGAGTGTGTCATGGTGGTGACCAGGTGCCCAGCAGTCAGAAAGCAAACAAATTTAGCTCAAGTAACTTAAACCCAATATTTCTAAATAGCGATTAAAATTTCCTAACAAATCCCATTACTGTTTTCTTTAGGAAAAAAATCCTTCTCACACATGCTGGGTTGTGCTTGAGACACCCTTTGGGTAACTAAGGAACACCTGAGGTCCAAGCTGTATGCTCCCAGTATTTTCTGTAACTCACCTGAATTGTGGAAAAAACAGCCCTGCCTTCCAGCAAGAACTGCCTGGTCTGCTTCTAAGTCAGACCTCAAGGCCATGCTCGTCCTCCACCACGCTGCCACCAGCACACCTGTGACCATGTCTTCCACCTGCACGACTCCTCGTGACCCCTCAGTGTGTCCCCACAAGTCAGCAGGCGCACATGGAGCAAACCACTCTCCCCAAGGCTGCCACAGAACTCAGGGCCCGCTCCTCACCTACCTCACCTGGTGCCCTCCCCGAGGTTGTGACATTCCCCTGCTCCTCTTGTCCCCCACTTCAGTTCTTGACACTGTCGCCAACCTTCAGGCTTAAGATTAAGCCTCATCTAGCCCGGTCGGTGTGGCTCACTGGCTGGGCATCGACCCATGCACCAGGAGGTCGCCCGTTTGATTCCCAACTGGTCAGGGCACATACCCAGGTTGTGGGCCTGATCCCCAGTGGGGGACATGTGGGAGGTGGCCAATCGATGTTTTCTCTCATCGATGTTTCTAGCTCTCCCTCACCCGTCCTCTGTCTCTAAAATCAATCAAAAAAAATATTTTTAAAAATAATAATAATATTAACCCTCATCTCTTTGGAGTTGCCTCCTGGACAAACTATCTGAAGAAGCTCCCTTCTTGCTCTCTATCCCAGCCCACAGATCACAAATGGACATCATTTGTCAATTACACAGACTCTTAAAGCTCCAAAGATCTGCGTAACTCTTTTATTTTTGACCAGAAGCTGCTTAAAGATGTTTTATTAGGATTAACTTTAAATTACACAACACTTTTATCCGATTTCATTTTTGCTTCTTCCCTCCATGATATGACTATATATATTGCATGTAACAACTGAGGTGTTGCCAATTTTGGGAATAATTTCTTGAACTTCTAATTTATAAAGGGGAAACAAAATTGATGCATAGTAAAGAGACACATGTCTTAGTGGCATTTGATGACATCGTAGCAATATAAATCTTGCTTTCTTGATTCTTTATACTAATGTGTGAAGTTTTAAATGTTACCGAAGACGTAATTATGAAATTTCGACAATAATCACGTTTTTGAAGAGTGAGATAGAGAGTGAAGTAAGCAGTGGAGAATTTCTAAATGCAGCCCCAATGCCTGTGCAACGAGGGCGGAGTCTTCCCGCCTGACGGGGCCGCGGCAGGCGGGACACCCGGTGCAGTGTCGGCGCCCCCCGAGGCTCCCGCAGCCAGCACACGGCTTCACTCCCGCGGGAAAGAACAGAAGGGAGGAGGCAGCCACTGCAGACCCTGATTTGCACTCTCCCGCAGAAAATGGGGCTGACTTTCCAGAACTGCAATTTTTAAAACTTTCAAAAAGCTTACCTGTCTGTGATAAGAATCAGACAAGCATCTTCTGAGACTGAGAACTTCGAGAAATGCCTGTGTTACATCAAACTGTTAACTGCCTTCAGAAATGTTTGGGATGGAGAAACATAATTATGTATCACTTAATATTAGCCTAAAAACAGATAGGAAATATAACACAATTGATCTAAACTTAAAATTTTTCAAGTGGGCAATACTATAATTAGAAATTTATTCAATTTCTACATCACTGTGATGTCCAATAGATATTAACAAAGTTGCACCAAAGCAAAACATAAAAAAAAAGTAAAATAATAAAAAAGACTCCTAATAACAAAACTTTTACTTACAATAGTAATTATGGAACATGGATTTTTAATGAATTTCATTTTACAATGAAGACACTGAACACTTAAAAACAACATCAATACAATAAAAACACTTGCCTCTACACAACACTTACAAATGCATACTTTCTCCAAAGAAACTTGTTTTTCACAGATTTAAGCAACAAATAATTTTACATAAGATTCTTCAGATTGAAAAATATGTACAGAATCTTTGACTCTACAGAAACTGATGTACAGTGGTTGAAAAAGAGTGTTGCTTTGTCCAACAATGTATCTCGTATAAAATTCTCTATCAATACACATTTTTCAATAACCACACATTCTCCATGCATCATTAAATGAAATTCTGGACATATCAGCATATAGGACAAAACAATTCCCATTTCCAAACACTTTCAGATGTGATCACTTGTGGGTGATCACAACAATTTCAGCCACACACGCACAGTCACACACATAACACACATTCGAGCACATGCACGCACACTCTATCCCCAATCTCCTTCATGACTCCTGAAATCACCAGCACTGTGAGCAGAGCAGCTGGAGGGATCCCATCAGAGGACACGCAGCAGCTAGCAGAAGCATGTTCTGCTCCTGGGAACCCACTCCAGCACCATGAGGCCTTTTGCCCTTAAGGAGTCAAGTGAGACTGGCCCCTCCACTCAGCAAGGTGAGCAGCTGCCAGCCATGAAGGGCGCCGGTCTGCACAGAATTAAATGGCTATCACAATATATATTTAAAAGCTTCAAATTTTGTAATCTGGGAGAGATCTGGTTCTTAAGTTTGATTTAGCTATTGGTATACATTTTTCAATGTTTCTAACAGTGATTCTAAGACACAAGAGGAACCCAAGAGTGTGGTTATGCAGCTTATCTTTAGGAACTCATTGTGCTCATGCCTTTGGGAGTGTGGTGCAGTAGAGGAGTGGCCACCAGACATCTCACCACGAGACCACTCAGGAGAGCAGGGTCAGAACCTAATGCTCAGGCCCCAACAGTGACAAGCTGACATCATTCCCAAACAGTGTGCTCAGGGAAAATGTCACACTGTAAAAACACAACCAAGTCTTAAGCTTTAAAAATAAAGTTGCTATAAAACACTCCTTGTTTGCTCTTTAGTTAGCAACCTCAACTATGTATTGTTAATTACTGGTTTTTCCTGGCCTCTCTTCCCCTTCAGGCTCTGTAAATCATTTCAGAATCACCAATGAATCAGGACTGAAGTTTCAAAGATTAGCTACCACAGGACCTGAGATGGGAGCCCCACCCAAGGCCAGCCTGCACACTGTCACACTGCACTACATCAATGGTGCTAGAGCCCGTGTCACCCCAAAACAGGAGAAAAAGGAACGGGAGTCACCCGTGGTCGTTTGTAACATTACCCTCTTGTACCTCTCCAAGGGGCCAGTCTCCAAGTAGACGTATTCAAAGGATTAAAAAATATGATGGGCAATACACTGAGATGTCTCTTTACCAAAATTGTAACTCAATAATAACATGAACTCACAAACACCAGACACAGTAACTGCTAAGAAGGCAAGAGTGACAGGCCCGCTCCAGCAGTGGGAGGGTTGGCACTGAGAGGTGTCTCGGCAGCTGAAACAGGAGCATCTTGTCACCTGTGAACTATGGCTGCGGCTGACGCCCTGGCAGCTAATGGAAGCGCCTTTCGTCTTCAGGATATGTTTGCTGATTTGTCTTTCTTGCCTTCTGAACTGAACTCAGTATTCCAGCTAAAAGCCAAAGTGCTTAGTTAGCTAGGCACAGTGAGACTCCCAAGTTTTCCAAACATTTTTGAGGTAGTACTCATTGCATTGTTGGCTCTCAAATACCACCAAAGAAGTGAAGCCATGTAGAAATATGCAAACCAAAGGTGTAGAAAATAAATAATGTTTTGTCTTCAGGTAGCACAGCCTTCTTAAAAAGGTCAAGTCACATTCGATGGATAAGTCATCTGAAATTTCTAAAAACTGTTTATAACCATAGCTATAAACTAAAGTGCTTTCAATTTTGCTTACAATCTGAAATTGGTGATTAGAATCTTATTTTAGAATTTGCTAATATGAGACCTCGGGATATTGAAATGGTTTTCTACAAAAAACAGAAACTTTTTTTTTTCAAAAGAAACCCTGAATGTTGCAAACTCAACATCCGATGCTATTTTTTTAACTTCTAAGATCCAGGTTAATTTCACAGAACTGTAACAGAATGAAGAGCTGAAGCTGAATTTACACGACAGCACGTGCTTCAACTTCACACAAAAGTAAACATAAAATTTCTAACCAATCCTGACATTCATCAGCCAACGCAAACACAGCTCTGCAGTCTCCCAGGACAAGGTAGATATGTAGGATTATTCCAGAAATGCCACAGACTTACGCTCACAGTAAGTACACAGGTTCACATTGAACTCACACAAGTATGATGCCCTCCTGTCATCTGTCAAATGCCACGTGCTGCAGGGAGCGGCTTCATTCCCACTGACCAGAGGATGCCAGCACAGACAAGACGGAATAAAAACATAACCACAGTTCTGTACATTTCATGCAAGCTGGGTACAATGTGAAAAGGACATACACAAATCACCCTGCTAGGGTCCAGCTCTCACAAAAATGGCTGATCTGTATGAGAAAAGCCTGCTCCAGTCACAGGTCCATGGCAAACTACGAAACTAAGGAATGCCGGCACCTTATTTCTCTTGTAACAATGCAGGGATGTTGATGTTCCAGCCTATGGCTTGCCTGTCAAACCCGCAGGTGAACAGATTGCATGTGGGGTGGTCCTCGCTCCACGCCGAGCAGCACACCATTCTTCTGTGGCCCTATTACCAATCATATAAACCAGAATTAGTGTATTATTCCTCAAGCATAAGAGCTATAAAATCTCAACCAAATAACTACACCACTCAAAGGAACTAATTTGAGAGGGAAAAAATTAAGACGCAGGATGAGTCAAAGTGAGACAAAAGTGCTAAGTATAGCAACAGGCTGTCATCTCAGGGATGTACTGGTGGAACACTCATGACAAATGAATGAGGTCAGACACAACATAAATTTAGGGAGAAGCACACCAAAATCACTTATGATTCTTTAATAAAATGAGTAAGATTACAGTCAGACAGAAAAATAAATAATCAATTTGAAATGTTTTAATGAATAAAAGAGGCTAGGTAAATTTGGGGATAAACTCAATGAAATGCACTCAAAGACTTCAAACATTTTAATAAATAATTGGTCCAGGTGTTAAAGCAATTAGAAAAACACATTCAGTGCCAAATAAAAAATAAAATAGAAGAATAGAATAGAATAGAATAAAATAAAATGCCTTTCAAGTAAATTCCTGCTAGCTTTAGGAGTTCCAGTTCAACACCAGAATGTTGGGAAAAAATTACTGCATATCATGCAGAATTTACAGTGTGATGCCTGGTGCCTACATGCAGAGATGCAAGCAGTGCCTCGGGACACAGTCACATGTCATTTAATATGTAGCTGTTACTATATCATACAATAAAGTACAAGAAGCAGAATTAGAAACAGCTGACAGAAATTTAGCAAATAAGAGACCCTCAAAAGAATGGTGCAAAAGTTCCATCTGGAAAATGTTCACGTATGAATACTGTCCCTTTTAGAGAGAACTAGACAGGCCACAAAATTAACACACTGCAAGGAAGGAGCCCACAGAACGAAGGGTTAGGAAAGCGATCTTCTACACTCCTTTGTTAGGAACTGAGAAGAGAGAATGAACAAGCATCCGTTCACTGGGCAGTAAAAAATCAAGTCTCTGGAAGAACTAGTTAAAGATGATAAACTCAAGGCATCCACTGGACAAACACAGATCAGGCCCTACTAACTGAGTGAGGGAAAAGACCAAGTGGCACCTGCAAATGTGGGTGCAATCAGGGCTAAGTTCCAACTGAGCTGGAAGCCCACACTAGGTGAGAGTCACCCTTTCATCTCATATAGATTCCCAGAGAGCACACAGACATCACCCAAAAAAGGCTCAGTGCACATGCAGATTCTGAAACCATTCTCTGCCCTCTTGGAGTCACAGATGTGTTAACACCTCTGCGGTCCTGCAATGAAGACCCTGTGTGCCGTCTGCACCACGACCCTCCTCCCTGAGCTCCTGCTCACAGCCACACTCTGGGAAACGTCACTCTTCCCAAAGTAAAACAATCCCATATCATGAGCCCCTGCCACTCTAGTGACTAAGTTCAATTAAGTTTTGTTGTCTCCATATAAATCTGTCAGCTGAAAGAAGCTGGGACATGAACCAGGGATTTCTAGCTGTGGTTCTATGACACTGAAAACCATAACTTAAGTGTTAAAAGTTCAGAATAAAATGAACTTTTTATTCATTAACTTTAAAAATAAGTTTTTTCACAAACCACTTTAGGAGGCAATAAATCCAAGCACAACATAATTCTACAATTCCAGCAAGGTTGAATGTTAACAGATAATTAAAAATAAAGTTGTCTCCCTGGCCAGTTTGACTCAATGGTTAGAGTGCCGGCTCACAGACCAAAGGGTGTCAGGTTCGATTCCAAATCAAGGGCACATACTTGGGTTGCAGGTTCTATCCCCAGCCCCCACTAGGGTTGTGCAGGAGGCAACCAATCGATGTGTCTCTCCTTTCTTTCTTTCTTTCTTTCTTTCTTTCTTTCTTTCTTTCTTTCTTTCTTTCTTTCTGTTTCTCTCTCTCTCTCTCTCAAAATCAATGGAAAATATGCTCAGGTGAGGATTAACAAAAAAATAAAAATAATTGCCTGGCCGGTGTGCCTCAGTGGTTGAGTGTCAACCCATGCACCAACAGGTCGCCAGTTCAATTCCCGGTCAGGGCACATGCCCAGGTTGTGGGCTGAATCCCCAGTGTGGGGCACGCAGGAGGCAGCCAATCGATGTTCTCTCTCATCGATGTTTCTATCTCTCCCTCCTTCTCCCTCTAAAATCAATAAAAAATAATTAAAGTTGTGCCCACAGAGTTAGCCCCACCAACAACTGCTGAAATCTCCCCATTTTTTTGAGAGGAAATATTCTCAAAGTAATGAAGTCACACACACTCATACGTTTATGTTTGAAAATGCTGGCTTTCCATGTTGCACAGCAATTTTATGAACTGCACAGGCGCAGCTAAAAAGAGAGAGAGAACCCCACTGTGTACGAAAAGTATTTAAAATATACATCAGTGATGCTCAGCAGTTACTAAAACACAAAAGTCCCAGACAAGCAACTATAGCTTTGTTAGGGGCTGTGAACCTGTCTGCAGTTACTCTTAATTCCTTGAGTAGTTTTCTGTGGCGTGCACTCATAAATGAGAAGCTCAGTAACTAACTTAAAACAGCACATGTAGGAGCCACACAGGGAAGAATCAGCTGTGTCTTGAGTACAGAGGGCTTTCAGAAACTTGGCGCCACTTAGATTTGTTGCTGTTGGCAGCAAATCCATTTGACCATCTACCTCCAGCATCGCCTGAGTCTGTGGTTCCTGGGCCACACCTCCCACAGGGCCAGCCTGCAGCTCATGACTGCACCTGGAGGCTCTGCCTATGAAGGAACAGGAGCAGCCACCACGGTGCAGCTGTGGTGGGGGAATAAGGTATCACAGTGACACACAGAAATGGCCAAAAGAAGCAAAGGAGAGTGACCATGTAGTACAACTCGGTTAGGCACAAAGGCTAAAGAGAGGCTGAAAGTCTGAGCTGGTACTGCAGCCCAGGTAACTGTGACAGGTGGTGCAAACACCTCAGTATACCCTGACCCAACACCCCTGCACTGCACCATCTGGGCTGAATGAGAGTGAGCAGTCCTAGCTCCCAAGAAAGTCTCATCTAGAATGGAGTTTGTCCTGCCAACCTACCATGGAAAGGGGTTTTCTGGTTGGGGGTCCTTTTTTTTTTAGTTACTCCTCATCCAAGAATATTTTTTTCATTGACTTTTTTAGAGAGAGTGAAAAGGAGGGGAAAGGAGAAGGGGGTAGGGGGAGAGGGGGTAAGAGAGAAAAGGAGAAGGAGAAAGAGTGAGAGAGAGAGAGACATCAATGTGAGAGAGACACATTGACTAGCTGCCTCCCACACATACCCTGAATGGGGCCAGGTATCAAACCTGTAATCCAGGTATGTGCCCTTGACTGGGAATCAAACCTGAAACCCTTCAGTGCATAGGCCAACACTCCAACCACTGAGTCACACCATTCAAGGCAAGAGTCCTTTCGTAAGGAGCTTCCATAATCCACAACCACCACGCCTGCTTGACCATACAAATACTTGTCCTTTAATATATTTCCAATTTGTACAAGTTCAACTGCAAATATCTAAAATGGGGTTTTCCAGTGTAGTGGCCACTACCCCACGCACAAATGAGCTCTTGAAAAGTGGCTGCTGCCCTGACCAGTTTGGCTCAGAGGTTAGAGCATCAGCCTGTGGTCCAGAGACACCCGGGTTCAGTTCCTGCTAAGGGCATGTACCTCGGTTGCAGTTTGTCCCCGGCCCTGGTTGGGTCATGCAGATGGCAGCCACTCAATGTGTCCCTTTCATGTCGATGTTTCTCTCTCTCTCTCTCTCTCTCCCTCCCACTCTATCTGAATAAAAAATGGAAAAATGTCCTGGGGTGAGGATTAAAAAAAAAAGAAAAGTGGCTGCTGCCACTGAAGAACTCAATGCTGGACTTCATTGAAGTTAAACTTGAAAACTAATACTCAGTTCAGGTATAGGGAAATATTTTCAATATTAAATTTTAGGAACTCTAAATACAGATGAAATATTTCCAATGAAAATCTAGCATCCAAAAACTTAGTAAAGAGTATAAATTCGCTAATATCTTTATATTGATGACACATTCAACTGTTATTATTTTGGGTGTATCTGGTTAAATATATTGTTAAAATAATTTCTCTCCTATTTTTTTAATCCTTACCCGAGGATATTTTTCCATTTATCTTCGAATGGGTGGGGGGGTGAGGGAGGGAGAGAGAGACAGAGGGAGAGTGAGTGGGAGAGAGGGAGAGAGAGAGAGGGAGAGAGGGAGAGAGAGAGAGGGAGAGAGGGAGAGAGAGAAACATTGATGTGAGAGAGACACATCGATTGGTTGCCTCCCGCATCACCCTGACCACGGCCGGGGACTGAACTGCAACCAAGGTACATGCCCTTGACCAGAATCGAACCCATGACTCTTTGGTCTGTGGGCCAACACTCTAACCTCTAGGACAAATCGGCCAGGGCAATTTCATTTCGCTTTTGTAAAGTGGCTATAAGGAAACTAAAAACACACATGTGGCTCCCACTGTGTTTCCATGAGTTGATGACCGAGAAGACCTGAACACACGTCATCAGCACAGTTACCTGCCGACTGCTTCGGGGGAGCCGAGCCAGCCGCACACCAGACATATCGAACAATCTTACTTGTCGGTTGTCATGGGGGAGGGCGATGATTTTTTGGCCAACACATACATTAATCCTGCAAAGAAGAGACAAAGTAGGTTCCAAAGTAGGTTCCATATAAAACAGTGACAGCACCAGTTTCTGAGTTTACAGATTAGATGCAGTAGGGTTTTACATACTACACATATTTCGTGGCAAACACAACAGCCAACTGCAAGTATTATGTATCTACAGCTTTAGGATACAGAGACCAAGTTACTTATATGCAACTCACAAGTACAGCATGGTCACTAAAACAGAAGCACTGTGACAGTGGGCCATAACTGGCTCGTTCTTATTCTCAAAGTCCACGATACCAACCTGATTCTATACTTAAGTTTCAGTGTTTATGGACACTGAATTGCATTAGAGAATCAATTACAAATATTTTCCCAAGAATCTAAACCACTTTCCCAGGACTCATTCAATTAAACACTGAGACACTAATGTTTCAGTGTTTAATTGTCATGTGGACAAGACACTGCACTACAATCAACCCTTTAAAGTCAAGTAAACATCTAAGCAACTAGCAGCTTCCTTCACCTGTTGATGGCAGAATCCGTACGAATGGTTGCAATGGGGGATCTCATGTTCTTCAAATCCCAGACCTTCACAGTGCGGTCGTCACTGCCTGAAACGACGTTATCTCCCACGGTAAACACGGCAGAGGTCACGGTGCTACAAGTAAAGGGCACAGGTCAGAACCTCATCTAGTATACAGCACGGTGGCTGTAGCTCCTACCATGCTGTGTACTTGAAATTTACTGGGGGAATGAACCTTAAATGTTCTCACCACATAGAAAAGGTAAGCGTGGGAGGTGAGGGATGTTATAATTATCTTGACTGTGATCATTTCAGTGGATATGTATATTGAACATCCCACTGTACTCCTTAAATATACTCAATTTTTACTTGTCAATTATACCTCAATAAGAAGGGGAAAAATTGTAAAAATAAAAGGGTTAAGAAAAGAATCTCACCTTTCCTGACAACTCTAGCCTAAAGTAACAGCCTCCCAGAATATTTAAGAGCCATATTTTTTCCAGAGGCATAGAAATTAACTACAAATAAATAAAAAAAATTTTTACATATGCATCCTCATTATTTCTCACAATTATTTCAAATTACTTTTATTTTACTTAGAGCCTAAAACAATAGATAAATTCAGGTTCAGAAAACCCAGGTGTTACCCAGACCTTAGACCTAAAACTGCTCCACCAGCATTAGATCTATACTGAGTCTGTCAAGTGGGTCTCAACTTGGCACTGCCAATGTTCAGGTGACCACTGCCCGTGGGACACCCTGTGCACCTGGACTGAGCAGCCTCCCTGTTCTGCCCACCCAACACCAAACACATCTCCTCCCCAGGTGCTATATCAACGCAAGAGCCCAGTCGGTGTAACTCAGGGGATTGAGCGTCATCTCACGGGCTGAGAAGTCCTGGTTGGATTCCAATCAGGGCACATGCCCAGGTTGTGGGCTCAATCCCCAGTAGGGGGCGTGCAGGAGTCAGCCAATCGACTCTCACATGGATGTTTCTATCTCTCTCTCTCTAAATAATCAATAAAAAAATATTTTTTAAAAAAATAAATAAAAATAAAAGACAACACAAGGGACTGACTACAATGAGGTGTTGCTCCTTGTCCGTGCAGAGGTCACAGCAAGGTTTAAAGAAACTGCTGGCAGAGCTCTGGGAGCAGATCGACACTGGGCTGCTCTGCAGATTCTAGTCTTTAGGAGGTTTGGGCCAAGTTAAATTTCAGTGAACATTCTGCTAAATTAATGGGAAAAGTCTCCACAAAAGACCATCGAACTCTATGTTAATGAAACGCTGAAAGACATTAGGTTTTTAATAAATCACAGTCCTGACAGGTATTGTGGGCCATCAAAGGGAAAAGCTGGCACAGAGAAGGCACCCTCAACTTGGGTCCCACGGGGAGCGGGGCCGCCACGGCCGCACACTGGAAAAGCTCAGACTCTGCCAGACTCCAGTAGACTCATTTATCTTGTCGCCGCGAGCAGCCGAGCATGTGCTTCCAGCTGACAGCACGGTACCTCCTCACCGCACACCACTGCCCGATCTGGAACAGTCCGCTCCCTCCGAGGGTCTCCATCAACGGAAAGACTGTAATGCTAGCACTCCTCATTAGGACTAACAGCTGTCTTCCCAGTCACACAGAGACACAAAACTGTTTTGCATAACAATCTGCCGGAATTTCATGGCTAAGAAAAAAAATATATGATGTGGAAAACGCTGGCCCAGGAAATGCTGAAGCAGGGTGCTTTCCTGGCTCCACATCAGAAACTGACCGCAGAGCACCCAGTTCTTACTGTAAGGAGTAGTTCCCTACAAAACACAGACATCCTTCTGCCTCTAAGGAACGACCAGACGGCAAGCACTCCCTCCACTCTGGGAGCAGAAAGGGCAGGGCACCCTTCCCGAGAATACAGGCTGCGTCTCCTCAGGTCCACGGAGCCATCTGTGAAAAGCATATCAAGGAGCAACTAGTGTGGCCTTCTCAATGGCCATCCCACCTGTGCAGGTGCGCTGCCGTGTCCACGTAAATGCGCAGGCCCAACACCTGTGACAAATGGACCAAAGCACTCTCCCACAGCTGAGGTTAGGCTCTCTCACACCTGCACAGGAGACCTATACATGCCACTTGACCCTGTCGTGACCACGGCCTCTGTGTACAAAGCCAGTAGGTCACATTCCTTCCTAGGTCATCACCACTTCCCAAACTGCTTTAGAAGGTAAGCATCTAACAGAGGACATCGTCTTCAGCGTACATGGCAGCATCCTGGAGAGCACGTCCTCCTGAGCCTTTCCTATTACGTGTGCTTGGCAAAATTTAAGGCGCTTACGCCAGCCTGTACTGTACAACCTCAGATACCTCTAAGAGGAGCAGGGAACTTCTCCAAATAAACACACTTCTACATATATCTTGATGGCTAACTCCCCAGAAAGCAGACCCTAAGATAAAAAACATTCAAAGGAATTGTCAAACGTTTATCACACGATTCTTTTCCAGGATTGAAAATTCCACTGTCCCCTTGGAAAAAAGATAAGGCGCCTACCGTGCCAGTTACTCAATATTCTCATTTGGTTGCTCTCATCTCTACACCTGCCTCTTCAGGACACCTGAGAGATTTCCTTTCTAAATTACTGATAGAACTGAACTATAAAACTGTCCATCCGACGAGGATTTCTGAGTACTACTGTGTGCCAGGCCCTGCTTTCTGTGGAGAAGACGGCAGCGGTCCTGACTTTAAAGAAACGCACCACAGGCCTGGCCAGTTTGGCTCAGCAGTTAGTGTCAGCCCTTGGACTAAAGGGTCATGGGTTTGATTTCTGGTCAAGGGTATGTACCTGGGTTGCAGGTTCAATCCCCAGCCCCAGTCAGGATCATGCAGGAGGCAGCCAGTGGATGTGTGTCTCTCTCTCATGGATGTTTCTCTCACTCACTCTCTCCCTCCCTCCTTTCCACTCTCTCTGAAAATAATAATAATCAATGGAAAAATATCCTCAGGCAATAATTAACCAAAAAATTAATAAAGAAAAAATGTGCTGCAGTTATAGGGCATGCTGTCTAATTCTAGTGGCTACAATGCACTGCTGATTAAAAAAAAAAAATCCCTGGCCTGGCAGGTGTGGCTCAGTGGTCGAACATCAACCCTTGCATCTAGAAGTCACTGGTTCGATTCCCAGTCAAGGCACATGACCAGGTTGTGGGCCCAATCCTTAGTGTAGGGCATGCAGGAGACAGCCAATTGATGTTCTCTCTCATCAATATTTCTCTCTCTCCCTTCCTCTCTAAAAATCAATAAAGAAAAAAAAATTTTTTTAAATAAATCCCTGAAACAGCTTTACTACTGGCCAGAGAGGAGAGTGTGTCAAAACAGTATGTTCAGTTAACTTAGCTCAGTTCTCTTCCTCAGCATTCTATTAATTCAGAACCTTTTCCCACAGATTTTTCAAAGATGATAATCACTTCCACATAACCTGATTTAAAATGATTACAGAGAAGTTAAAATGAGTAAGATTTATACACTGACTTCCTACTTGCGATATCAAGGTCAAGATTCTGAATTCCTTTCTTTGAAAACTAGTCCTGTTTCATTCTTACTGAACACTGTAACAGTCAACCACAAATTAGGCGAGGAATGATCTCTCTCTGGTTTTAGTCACCTGATTTTCCATTCTCTTATTTTCTTTTTAATTTATCTTTATTGTTGAAAGTATTACACATGCCCTGGCCGGTTTGGTTCAGCGGTTAGAGCGTCGGCCTGCGGTCCTGAGAGACCCGGGTTCGGTTCCCGCTAAGGGCACGTACCTCGGTTGCAGTTTGTCCCAGGCCCCGGTCGGTTGTGCGGGTGGCAGCCACTCGATGTGTCCCTTTCACATCGATGTTTCTCTCACTCTCTCTCTTCCTCTCTCTCCCTCCCACTCTAACTGAACAAAAAATGGAAAAATGTCCTCGGGTGAGGATAAACAAACAAAAAAAAAAGTATTACACATGTCCCTCCTTTTTTCACCATTGACACCCTCCTTCCCATCCCCTCACCCCGTCTTCACCAAACTGTTCTGTGTCCATTACATATAAGTTCTTTGGTTTATCTCCTTATTTTCTAAATCCAAGACTTTGCGTGCTCACCCGCTAACAACCACCAATGTCTCAACATCACCATGATCTGAGTCTGTGTAAAAGAATTGAGAAGGAAGAAACTTCAAAGGTGTTTTTTTTAATCTTCCAAAAGGAAAAAACTTTACATCAATTTTGAAGGTAATGTGATACAGACAAGCCCTAGTCATTAGAACAGTTAGAAAAATAAAAGTCAGGAACTGCAAGTTTTTTACTCTCAAATATACTAGATTAGTCAAAAATTGCAAAGTTGAAGGAAGGTCACTGTTGCTTCAATTAGTTAGAAAGACCTCATGTGGAGCAGCACGCCCAGTGCTGGGTGTTTAGTGACCCCTCCCAAGAGAATCTTCCCTTCACTGGCAAGAGGAAACTTGACCTGAAGTGTTGCTCAGACTGGAGTATGGGGTGACCACCTAACACTGCACTACAGGAGCTAAGTGCCCCTACAGCCCGAGATGGTGTGCAAATGTGCTTCAAAATCATATGTGAGTGTACCCACCAGGAATGACACAGCTACACAAACATGACACGTGCGCATATGTATGCCTGTATAAGTGTGCCCATCAGAAGTGGCATGGGCTACATAAATTGCGATGTATGTGCAGATATGTATATATGTGTGAGCATGCCCATCAGGAGTGGCACCAGTGACATGGAATGTGATGTGTGTGCAGACAGGTATACAGTTGTCCCTCGTTTATCGTGGTTAATCCGTACCAGACTCTAGCGGTTGCACCTGGCGTTGAAGGTTCCTGGGGTGCTCAAATACATAGGCCTACAGTCCATACATACAGTAATTTTAATTTTAATACAGGGGTGTATAATTGACTCAGACAACCAAGCGCGCACTGTATCATTTTCACTGTCTCGATCAACTTTTTAATGAATATATTTTTAAAAACCGCGATACAGTGAAGCCGCGAAAAGTCTAAGCGCAAAGTGACAAGGCACAACTGTATAGGTATATGTATAAAATAAGCCATAACAACCTCCCAATTGATACAGAAGTGGCTCTGCAACTTTAGTAACTGCTCA